TATTACTACTATAATTAGTATTATCGTTATTACTATTACAGGTGTTATCAAAATTATTACAACTATTGCTATCATTATTACAATCATTATCATCTGCATCACTTACCATAATATGCTCTTGCATTTCGTTCATCTTCAATATTCATTTCTGATCTCAATTACCCTTTTTTCTCTTTTATCTCCTCTTTATCTTGTCCCTTTTGTCCCCCGTTCCCTCCTATCTCCCTCCCCACCTGTTCTTATCCCACCCCTTTTTGTTATCATCCTTCCTTCCCTTCTTACTCTTTTCTCTTCTCGTCTTTCTTCTTCCCTTTCCTTCCTTCTCTGTCAACCCTTCTTCTCTCCCTTTTATAAATTCTCTTCTTTCCCCTTTCTTCTTTCCATTTCCCTTTTCTGTTTCTTTTCTCCCTTTCTTTTGTGACACTTTTCCTTTCTATCTTATGTCTTCTCTTTCCTCTCTTTCTTTTCCTCCTTCCAGTATCATCCCCATCCCTCTTCCCCTTTCTTCCCTAATCTCTTCCTCTCCCTTCTTCCCCTTTTTCTCTCTCAATTCTTTCATCCCTCTAGCTTCTTCAGTCGTGTTCTCTTTTCCTTTTCTTTTATTCTTCCCTCCTTCCCTTCTCTCTCCATCTTCTCTCATTTTTCTTGTCCTACCCCTCCGTTTTTGCCTTCCTTTTCCTCACATCTGATTTTCTTCTTCCACTCCTTCCTCCTATCTTTTTCTTCCCTCTTTCTTATTTCTCCAGTTTCTTTCCCTCGTCCTTGCCCTCTCTACCCCCCCCGCCCCCACCTCTCCCACCTTTCCCCTTTCCCCCCTTTTTATCTCCTCTCTCTCTTCCCCGACCTCCCCTATCTCTCTCCCCTCTTCTCTACTTTTCTTTCACTCCCCTTCCCTTTTCCCCTCCTTTCTTTTCCCTTTTCAACCCCACTCTCTCAACCCTTCTTCCCTCCTCCTCTCCTCTCTTCTTCCCCCTTCCACACTCTTCCAAATTCACTCCTCCTTTCTTCCCTCTTCCTACCTCCTCTTTCTATCCCTCTGCCCTCCTACTTTCTCTCCCCTCTCTTCCTTTCTCCTCTCTCCCCTTCTCCCCTTCCTATGTCTCCCCTCTTCCGCCCTCTACTCTCTCCCATTTTCCTTCTCCCTCTCCCTCCTCCTCTCTTTACCCTAATGCCCTTCTGCTTTCACCCCTCTTCACTCCCTTTCTCTCTCCCTCTCCCCCTCCTATATCCCCTATTCCCCTTCCTGTATCTCCCCTCTTCCCCCTCCTCCTACCTTTCCCCTCTTCCCTCCTCCTACCTTTCTCCCCTTCCCTCCCCCTCTCCCCCTCTCCCCCGCCCTCCTTTCCCATCTAAGCTCTAAGCTGCTGGCAATATATATGTATATTTACTCTCCCGGTTCGCCTCGCTGGTCAGATCTGGCAGATATTTCCGGCCTAAAGAGAATTAGGAACGCTGGACATAATATAGTGATGGGACGCGGGGGAGGAAAGAGGGGAGAGGGGCGAAGGGGAAAGTAGAGAGAGGGGAAGGTGAGAAGGGAGAAGGGGAAAGGAAAGAGGGGAGGGAGCGAAAGGAAAGAGGGGAGAAGGGCGAAAGGAGAGAGGGGAGGAGAAAGGAAAGAGGGAGAGGGGGAAAGGAAAGAGGAAAGAGGGAGAAGGCAAAAGGGGAGAGGGTGAAGGAAAGAGGGGAGAGGGAAAGGAGAGAGGAGGGAAAAAGGGGAGAGGGGGAAAGGAGAGAGGAGGGAAAAGGGGAGAAGGAAAGGAAAAAAAAGGGATTAGGGGGGGAGGGAAGGGAAAAGGGAAGAGGAGAGAGGGAAGAACGAAAGAGGGGAGAGGGGAATGGGAGGAAAGAA